GCTCATAAACACCTTCATTTTATAAATTAACACTAAAATGGTTATTTTTGGTATTTTATATTATATACACAAACATTATGCATATTCAGTCTTCATTTTCCTGTAAATGATGATATAAAGATATGAACACAGGGTTGGGCTTGTGGCTCAGCCGTAGAGTGCTCGCCTAGTGTGTGAGAGGCCCTGGGTTCGATCCTCAGCACCACATAAAAATAAATAAATAAAACAAAGGTATTGTGTCCAACTACAATTAAAAAATAAATATTAAAAAAATATGAATGCAAACTAAAATTTCATTAATAAGATCTTACTAAAATGAGTTTGTTTCAGAGTTTTAAAATGTTTGAAACCCACAATAAAAATCACAAATAGAAATCTGGCTAAGAGTAACACTCTAAAGAAAACAGACTATATAAAATTATTGCATAGTTAAGGCAGCAATCTAAAAAATTCACACTCTGTTTTCAAAACCAAAAACATTCCATGTGGGTTGAGGGGTATTGGGGGGACAATCGGTTACAGAAATTTGAACTCTATTAGAAAGGAGTTCTTTATTCTGCCTGTTTCATTTATAAGTTTATGTAATCTGATGTAAGATGGAAGAAATGGAAAACATTTGCAAAAAAAAAGTTAAAGAATGCAGCAATCAAGATTTTTATATCACTACCATTAATTCTAAAAATAATCTATCATATGGCGACAATAACCCTGTCAAATGGGAATATTTTTTAGGCTCGACTGTTGACAAGTCTTAGGCACACTGTTATCAGACTCTCTGAGGCAGAGGCAATGAATGGACAAGTGCTTATGAGTTCCAATCAGGAAGAATGTTAGTATCTACACTGGGTCATTTTGTTTCACAGAAAAATTTAAACTATTTGCTATTTTCCTCCAGAAAAAAAGAAAAAAAAAAAGGTACGCTTTATAATGACCATTACAAATTTTTAGATAAGTGAATTCTAAAGTAATGAGGTTGAACATTACTCTTAAAGTGATGGTTCCATATTCTACAAAGAATTCCAGAATAACCACTTTACAATTGTGCATACAAACACACATAACAACCCAATATGGCCACATTCAAATAAAATGCTGCCTTGAAGACTTGAGCCTTTCAATGCAAATGCAGACATGTCTCCTAAATTCACTGTTCTATAAAATAACTTTAAAAAAACATTTCCCAGAATCCTCCTAGAAATGTTGAGCTCCTAGAAATTGGCCATCATTGAAGAGATTAAAAAACAGAAATTCAGATCCCACATCTATAACTTTGAGTCTAATGGTAAATGCTGTTTTTAAGGGTTTGTTTTTGTTTTTTTAAGAATGAAAAAGTAGTAGTAGTTATTATCAAACTAGATACAAAGGTCTGAGCTACCAAGTTTGGACCTCTGAGTGGTTGACTTTGCCTCTTACAGTTAAGACCAGTAATAACTTGGGAGTTTCTCTACATAGAACATCTTAACAGTGGCTGTTAATATGAATGTTCAGGATCCCTCAAAGGTCCACACAAATCTTTAATTTTTCAGAAAGTCTAGTTAAAATTTCATGGGATTATACCCATTTGGGATTAGAAATACTAATCCTCATATTTATTGGAAGTGTTGACTCATACTTTTATGACTCTTTCCTTGCTACCCAATGGGAAATAGAAATTTTTTCTTTTACTGGTAGATAAACTAGTGAATTCTGGTCTATTCTATTCTGGTCGATTCTACTTCTCAGCAAAACTGGTAAAGAAAAAGGCTATAAACTCCTGCTCAAAGATAATTAAAAATAACACAGAAAAAAAGAAAGTTTTATAAAACTAGACATACTATTTAAAAAGTATAAGAAAAAGCATACAAAACAGAATTAGAAGAGGACACTAAGGACAGTGCCCAAGACATGACAAGGCACCACAGTAGTTCTGAGTTTCATTCAAGAAGGTGTCCTTCTGTCCAAAGTCTTTTATTATAACTCAAATTGCTAAAATAAATAAACAAACAAACAAACAAAAAAAAAACCTCAAAGAAGATGAATCCTAATTCAAAGGGGACTATTCTTCCCTGTAGAAGATATGCTCAGTTGCAATATCTTTAAAAACTGGTATAATTCTGTATTTTGTTCATAAGACAACCTCTTACTTCGATCATCTCTTATCTGGTCTTTTCTAATAGCCATTTAATTGATTTTCCTATATTATTCTTCTCTTTGATCTACTCTTCACAGAGAAAGGAAAATTATAAAAACAAAAACGTAAACCAAGTCATATCACTACTCTGCTTTATCAATTTCTATGCACTCTTGGGAAAAAGCTCTAATCCTTCTATTTTCTATATGACACTATAAGCAAGATCTACTCCTCCACTCACTCCACTCCTGCCACAAGGGCTTTTCCCCGCAATTCCTCCAAAGCTGCTTCCTACCATCAGGTCTTTGCATCTACTGTTCTTTTCCCTAGAATGTTCTTCCTTGTCTGCCTGGAATTTCCAATGAATCCTTCAGTTCTAAGCTAAAGTAGCTTCCTCGGAAAAGCTCAGCTCTTTATCAATTTTCCATCCCCTAAACCCCTCTGGCCTCCTATCATTTATACTTATCATAACCATAACTAGCAATCAGTTGTAAGCCCTATGAAAGCATGATGGTGTATGTCTTAAATACTGCTGTTTCCACAGTAGGAAGCATAAACAGGGAATAAGAGAATACAATCTTGCAAAGGAGTCTTGTGCAAAGTAACAAACATTAGTCTACTTGGATAAAACTGTGACTCTATCAACAGCACATACCATGTAGCATTAATGAGTCTTTGCTGGAGTGTACAACAAATAAGTAGCTTTTGAAGCAAGATTGTTCACACTCTTTTAGTTTCAAATACTCTAAATCTTCAAGTAGATTGCTAAGTGAGGGACATGTTACTTGAAAATATTCACGGAATTCATTGTGGTAGCTATGTTTCCTGAAGGGGGGGGGGGGGGGACCGAGGAGCTCAAACAAAGCCAATCAGCCTTCAAAATACATGAGTCATTACAAGAAATTGTGACTGAAAGGCCACCCAAGAAGTAATAAGAATTCAACCAGTGTTCTCTAGAAAGATAGTTTAGCCAATTTATTTATGTTCAAATGAAACAAATGTTTGATGCAATGGGATAGGATAAGCAAAAAATTAAGACTTCAGGAGACAGTTGTGAAATGAGGATTTCCCAAGATGATTATCACTTCGGAAAGTATTACTATCAAGAAGTTCCTGATTAAAAACCTGAAATATAGCAGCATAGCTATTTATGTTTGGCAGAAAGGATCTGTAAGTCTTCAACATACTGATCCTGTTATCTGAGAGCACTGTCAATTTTTTAATGCAGGCCATTCAGGTCTCTGTGGGCCAAAAACTCCATATATAAATGTCTAATGTAACAGCTTAAAAAAAAAAAAAAAGAAAAAAGAAAGAGATGTTATTTATTTTCTAGAAATATTCATCTTGATAAATAACAAGAATGGGGAAAATATGAATCAAAATATCTAACCCACTACTAAGACCAAGAACTTAAGAATATGAAGCAAATCATTCATATTTTTTAATCTTCTCACCTATCAACCTAAGACTTTCAAGGAGTAAAACTGAAAGAACTGTGACTATTATCATGTCACTCTGTTCTCTAAATTTCCCTGTAGACAATGGGGTGGGGAAGAATGCACTGTGTGTGCTTACAATGGTGCATGAGGGAAACTACCACCGTGTGTGCCTACCATGCTGTGTGCCTGCAGACACTATATATGTCTGATTAGACTTAGTCCTCACAACTGACACATTCACGGATATATGAGACCCTGTGGTGAAATAACTTGCCAAATCAGCAGGCTAGCAAGTGGCTGAGACAGGTTTTGATTTCAGGGACACTTGGTATCCTTCCATAACATCACTATTACCTTAGTTTTCCTATCTTTGTCAAAACATTAATCATTCATCTAGCATAATGTTTCCACTTATTTTCCTTCCATGTTCCATTCTAACAAGTTTTCTTATTTTCTGAGAAATAAGCCTTCACACCTTGTCCCACTGATTATGAATTATGAATCAAGAGAATGCAGATTCTTCTTCAAATAGAGTAGCCTCTATCATGTTCTAAATGAAACTCTTAATGAGACATACAGTGCAAATACCTACCACTGCAAAAGAGAAACAGGTTCTCTATACTCAGTCATTCCCAGTATTCAATATACTCACACCTAGAAGGCCCTTAATAATTGTCTCATGTTTATATATAATATGAAGCTGATTTTTATTTTAAACTATCAACTTAGGTTAATTCAGTGTCAAATGTAAAAATAATCATCTATTTTCTGATTTAAATGATTGTTTTGATATGTCCTTGTACTAGAAATACTTCTTAAACTTTCTCATGATGGTACCCCTAATAGCAAAGGGGAATAAATGCAAGCCATAATAGCCAAAACACATCAGGAATTTCATGCATGATTTCCATTTTATCTTAGAGATTCAGGCAAATTTTTTATTCTATTCTATTTAATAGCCTTGCTTTTAATTCTTTCCCCTTCGCATCCTAAAATTAACAATTCAGAAAATAACTCAGCACTTACCAGAGTACTCCTAGTGGTAGGAGGACCTGCCTATTCTTTGCAAAAAACAGTAACAGGGTCTTTAACACAGAAATATGAAGTCATCAACCATGGGTAATAGAGACTTAAATTGAAAATGGTACATCTCAATAATTCACAGGTATAAAAACAGTTATTGAAGTTTGTGTTCCAATCTTATAAAAGTGAAAAATTAGTATTTCATCTATTAAGGAAAAGGAAGTATGTGGACTTGGTGAAAAAGGTAAGACACTTATTTTTCTGGAATTCTGAAACTGATTTAACTTTGTCAAATTTGTATAAATATTATTGACTATTCAGTCTTTCTATTCTATTCCAATTTCAGATAACAGGAACTAAGAGAAACATTTCTTTTTTGTTGTCAGAAACTGCAAAATTTGGGAACCATTGTATAAGATGAAAATTACCTTGTTTATCGATAACTGAATATGAAGCCAAAAATCCTCGTCCAGAAATATGAATTCCACTCATGAACAGCACTGTAATTTCATTGCTTTTTGATTCAATTGAATGGTTCATTTGCAACCCCAGACCACAATATTTGCCTAGAAATAAAAGAAAATAACATATTTGGTGTGACTTTTATAAAATCAATAATATTTGCAATATATATAAGAGAATCAGAATAATATACCAAACTGGGCATTAATTAGTAAAACCTCACTAGGATGTTTAATGATTAAAAATCATATTACTCTGGAAACAATAAATAATACTCAAATGATTCAAAAGAAAAAAACAGTACAGGGCATTACTGACCTCGTGAAGATTTAATTTTCTATAAAACACACTTGTTCTCTTTAAATCAATAAAAAGGAATGTAAAAGTTAACCTATGCAGGCAGGTAGCCATGAATAAATTGTTAATCAACAGTATTCTTAACGTGCTTCACCGAGGACCTCCTAGATTTGTGGCTTAGGGTAGCCCCTCAAATGTTTTATTGGATTCACTCAAGTTTTTCTTCTACAAATTGTCAGGCTTCTACTCAACCTGTTAGGTGATCATGTCCACTCTTGTGGCTTTAATTATGATTTGACAACTCACAAACTTCACCCTCAGCCTTTTGAACTTCAGATTCAATACAAATAAAAACCTAACTTCCATCTTTAAATGTCTAACAGATAAATATATAATGAGGATATGTTACTTTTTATATAAGTATTCAAAGAAACAAGAATTAAAGCAAGATATCCAACAATAAATGGTAAAAATGTATTTCCTTTATATGGTTGGTAACTCATCTAACAAATTCTGAATAAGAATCCCAAGAACTGTTTCAAGCTACAGTAATATCTCTTGATTAAAAGTAATGTGGACTTTCAGGGATATCATTCATCATTAGTGAAATGACATTAAAACTAAACAATATACCCAAAAGAATGGTTATAGTCAGAAAGATTGACATCAAGCATTGGTGAAGATGTGAAGAAATCAGAACCTTTATACAATAATGGCCGGAATATAAATTGTACAGTCATTTTTGAAATAGTTTGGCTGTTTCTAAAAGAAGTTACGCAGCTCAGCAATTCACTTCTAGCTCTCTACTCATGAGGGAGAAAAACATGTTCACAAAAAGACTATGCATAGTAGCACTATTTCCATCTGTCTCAAACTGAAACAATTTGGTCATCAACTAGCTAATGGATAAACAAAATGTGGTGTATGCTCATACACTGGACTACTACTCCTCAATAATACAAAGGACAACACCCATGAACCTCAAAAACACTAGGCTAAGAAGTTGTATGATATTTCTAGAAAAGGCAAACAAAGTAAAAGTGGAAAACATCAATGGCTATCAGACTTGGGAAAAAAGGGGAACAAAGTTGGTCACATAAGAAACTTTTTAAAAAAATTAACTTTTTTATTGGGGCACTATGCTTAACATAATAGTGGGCTTCGTCATAACATATTCATACCTGCTCATGTGAATGAATGAATGTGTCCTCTCAAATTCATATGTCAAAAATTCTAGCCCCAATATTATAATATTTGGAGATGGGACCTTTGAGGAGAATTAGGTTGTGAGGATGGTACTCTCACAATTCAACTGATCTCAGGCTACCAGCTTTCAGAACTATGAGAAATTAATGTTTGCAGTTTAAGTCACCAGTCTACAGTGTTTTTGTTATATAACAGCACAAACTAAATTCTCTGCCTTACCTAGAACTTTTTTCCCTTCCACACACCACTCACAGTAATAAAATAAATGATGCTTCCCAAAGAGTTGTGAAGTGTTGAATAACAGCATTTCTCTCTTCCTGTGAGTGACCCCTAGAAGTACTCAAGGAGTACATAAAGGTCCACAATGGTCCAATCACTCTCCTTTTCAAAACAGCAACAATCCTTTTGCTTTTTCCCTCACTGTCTCGTCAGGTCTCATCCCTTAATTAGTAAATATTTCAGCTTGTTTTTCGATATAAATCACCGAAACATCTTATGTAGAGAGTGATGATTTGAATCATGACCTCTGACTGCCCCATGGCTGCCTTTGCACTGGAAACTGCCTGTGTAAAGGTGCAGATCAAGATGGCCCAGTTGCTATGGTGATGCCCAGCCTGAGAAGGCTCCATGCCAAGGTACAGAGCTATATCACTCTGAACCTTGAGCTCAGACACCAATTCCCAGGAAAAGAGAATTCTGGGCATAACAAGATAACCTCAATGTCTCGCAAGTTTCACTGTGACCTTCAAAGTCTGTCTGCTTTCCTGCAACTTTCCTACAAATAACCTTTTTTTTTTTGTAGTTATAGATGGACGGAATGCCTTTATTTTATTTTTTATTTTTATGTGGTGCTAAGAATCGAAGCAAGTGCCTCACATATGCTAGGTAAGCCCACTGCCACCATGAGCTACAACCCCAGACCCACAAATAATCTTTTGATGATAAAATCTATATAATGAATGTGCTGAGCTAGCTCTGGGTCATTATTCCTCCATCAAAGGATAGTGTGCCACCTGGTTCCAGCTTTCTCTCTGTATGTGTCTTTTTGTCTTTTCTCAATTCCCCATTGCTTCTCATCGGTTTTCTGAATTAATAGCCATACTGTAAGCGGCAATCTTACAATACTACCTCTGTCTTTAACTGCACTATTGTTGAATTTATACCATCTTCATTTTGAAAACTATTTGCAGAGGTTGACTCTATTCTTTCCAGTGTATGATTCTTAAGCCATTTTTTGCTTCAATACATTATAAAAGAACCCTATAAATAGTTATCATCTGATACAGTAGTCTCCATTATCTGTAGTTTTGCTATCCATGGTTTCAGCTACCTACAGCTGACGGCAATCTAAAAATATTAATCTTTTTTTGACGCTTAAAAGAGACACAATCTTCATGCAACTTTTATTAATGTACACTGTTGTCATTATTCTATTTTATTAGCTGTTAATCTCTATGCCTAAATTATAAGTTAACTTTATCATACATCTGTATGTATAGGTAAAAACATCATAGTGTACATAGGGTTCAGTACTACCCATGGTTTCAGATGGAGGTCTTGGAACACTTACAAGAAGAAAAAAATGGTTAACTCTTTCAAATTAGTTTTTAATATTAACTCAGAAGTAGTCTAGTAAGTAGGACAAATATTATTAAATACAGTAATATTTTGGATACTAAAAATTTAAAAATCCTGACCTAATGTTAAAACAAAGTAACACATATTTCATTCTGTTCCAAATATTTTCTTAAGTGCTGCAAATATCTCAAGCTATATACAATAATTTGCTAGTAGCAAAGTCAAATGTGTGCAGAATCAGTGCCCATAACATCAACTCTTAAGACAAACTGGGAATAGGTAAAGGCAAGAGCAATTACATTAAGAAAATATTTACATATTCCAATTAACTCCTCTAAAAGTGAACAACAGATTCCCCTGGTTCAGCAGCACTAGCTGTTCTTTTCCTTTTAAGGACCTAAGTAGGTGTGATTTTATTAGAAGGCTGAATATGGTACTTAGTACAAATACTTCCAGGTATCTAAAAAGAGCATACCCTCCCAGCAGCTAGGGAGGCTGAGGCAGGTGGATTGCAAGTTCAAAGCCAATCTCAGCAAAAGTGAGGCACTAAGCAACTCAGTGAGACCCTGTCTCTAAATAAAATACAAAATAGGGCTGGGGATGTGGCTCACTGGTTGAGTGCCCCTGAGTTTAATACCTGGTACCCCCCAAACAGGAGCACATTTAAAAAATAGCTATCATGTGATACAAAGGTGTCTTTATAAAAATTATGTTGTGTATACTAATACTAGGGAATCATAAATTATTAGACTAAATTTAAAAGTGCTTTAGGAAAATTAAGAAATAACTGGACAAAAATATAATTTTGAAGTAAAAACAATTTAAAAAGTTAAGGTTTAAAATTTTTTTCAATGGGGAAAGAATCATATAGATACTTGATAAAAGCATTATAGTACTTTCTGTGGTGGAAATAAAAAATAAAATAAAAAATGTTGCTTTAAACCACTTGTTCTGTGAGACATAGGTATACAATATTAATTTTTTAAAATAATTGCTAATCTTCTAGGTATTTTAATGAATCTAATGTATACCATGGAAATTCCAGCCCTCACCTCTTATTCCCAGCCTAGATGACTGTTTCTCACCTCCTTTAATGATATGTTTAATAACATTACTTATAAGTAAAACCTGAGACAAAATATTCTGGGAAAGAATAAAGGAAAAATAAATTATTCCTTATCTGGGCATTCTAAATGGTTCATTAATTCCATTTCTGCAGTTTGGCCATTCAAAAGAAGTTACACAGTTCTCTTGCTTTCAAAACAATTATGCTAATTTATACAACAACTATAAATATGGTGAGTCTTTACTTCAAGACAGATTTATTACCATTTTTTCCCTGTTTAAAACTGTTACAAATTTACAAAATGAAAAAAATTAGAATAAAGAGGAAATAGTTATTATCCTTATGTAATCTTATTACAGAGATAACCACCAATAACACTTTGTAGCGCCTCAGCTCTTTCCATCTGATAAATGAAAACAGCAATAGTATTTATGTCATAGGGTTATAATAATTGTTAAATAAATACAAACTTATACAAGTGTATATACACTTGTTCATCTATCTATGTATTAATCCACTCATGCATACTGTCTCTCCATCTGTAACATATGCTACTACTAAACTGAGCTGGATGTGTGGCACATGCCTGTAAGCTCAGAGGCTTGGGAGGCTGAGGCAGGAGGACCTCAAGTTCAAGGCCAACCTTGGCAACTAAGTTAGAATCTGTCTCAAAATAAAATGTAAAAACGGTCGGAGCCAGGCAAGGTGGTACACACCTGAAATCCCAGTGGCTCAGGAGACCAATGCAAGAGGATCTCAAGTTCAAAGCCAGACTCAGCAACTTAGAGAGGTCCTAAACAACTTAGCAATACCCTGTCTCAAAATAAAATACAAAATGGACTGGAGACATAGTTTAGTGGTTAAGCACCACTGGGTTCAATCCCCTTTAAAAAAAAAAATTTTTTAAAGGCTATGAAACTGATTTTTAGAACGACTATCCCAATTTATTCCTTCTAC